TGGAGAGATTTAAGCCAATCTCTGAGGCTCCTCGCGTGCCCCAATCAGACACTAGATTAGTGCGCTCATAGGCACGCGCAAGGCCACGCGCATCCTGAAAATATCCTTTAGCAGAGCTGCTTGGGGGTAAAAACGTGCCCTTTAAGATTTGGACCGGCGACCAGGGACAATATGTTCTCCAAAGGGCAGCGCATGAAGTGCAATCTGTCCATGTGCGCTCATATTCCTACATAATCAGCGTAGCATCTAGTTTTAGCACACCCAAGCCCGTTTATAGTGCCCTAAAGCAATAATATATCTTTTATACCACTGGGAAATCTGTTTGAACACACAAATATGGCCTAAATCCGTGGAACCTCAAGAGTAAACAAAGCACAAGTGCGCTCAACCAGCGCGTAATTCGGTTCCACAGCTTTCAGAACACAAAAAAAGAGAGGTTTAAAAGCATGCGCCCCTGAGGCACTTACTCTCTGCGGGGTAGAAGGGGTGCATGTCGATCTTGTGCACCTCCTTGGCGTAGTACTCCTCCTCGCTGCGCTGGCGCTCGCACGTGGCCGCGCGCTCATTCGCCTTCTCCTGCAGCAGGTCGCGTGTGCTGTTGTAGATGGCGATGATGTCCCGGGACACGTCCTCGGGCTCCGGGTACTCCTCGGGCGGGCTGGTCAGCTTGAGCTTGCTGAGGATCTGCCCGCGAATGGCCTCGATGCGCTTCTTCATGAACTGATCCATGTCGAGCGTGCTGCACGTCGAAAGGCCGCGCGCCGCGGGCGCCAGCTCCAGCGCGAGCAGCAGGGTCAGCACGTACACGTTCATGGTGGGGTGGGGGTCCAAACGCGCCTTTCCTGCCTCGCTCTCTTTCCCCGTTCCCCGTACCCAACGCGCACCGGCCTGGACACTTTTCAAAAACACACACGCAAAGAGTCTCGCAGAAAGTCGCGTTAGAGAAGGCGGGACGCGCGCGCTGCGCTCAGCGGAGAGGAGAAACGCATTGCGCACTAGCAGAGTTTGGGGGGCTATATCGAGGCTGGTTTTTCGGGGCTTAAAAGCGTCTGAAACGTTCAACGGCTTCCCCTGTAATTAGTTCGCACCGGGACATCCAGTCCGCGCGCCGAGACCGCAGTGACAACGAGGATGATGATGAAGATGATGAAGGAATCCGCTCCGGACCGACAGCTCATTCCACGCAGCGCGCGCTTAGAACCGTCCCGCTCGTGGCCATGAACTCAAATTCACGCGCCGCCGCCGGGCATCGCGCGCACGCATACATAAACACACACGCACGCACACACAGGTAGGCGCACGGTGCCGCCCGCGGAGGCTCGCGCGTCCCGGTCAGAGAGGAGAAAAGCTGTACGGTCGAAGCGCGCGCACGTCTGAGACGAGAAACAACAACAACAACAACAACAAAAAAAGACAAAAAACGGGAGCAAACGAGACGCCTCAGTGTCCGTTCAGCGCGCGCGGCCGTTAACGCGCCTCTCCATCGCCTCGAGCCGAAAAGCCAAACGCGACACTCGCAGCTTCTCCGTGTTGAAGAGCGCCAGCACTCACGCGCATCTCCTGAAGGCCGGGGGTGCACACACTCACACGCGCACACACAAGCGCAGACAGAGCGGCAGAGAGATTTATACAGGACGAGCCTCACCACGTGCTCTCTCTCTCGCGCTTTTTCAGCCTGAGGTTGTGGTCATCCCGATCAGAGCGGAGCACTACCGCAGCCCACGGTCACACAGCGAGCGACTCAGTGTAAATACTGCAGCGCCGTGCGCCCGGACACACACGGCAGCGCAGAGCGCCACACTGCAGCCACGGGGTCCTAATGCCGGCAGGATGAAGGTCACTGAAGACACGTTAAAGGAATAGTTTGGTTAAAAAGTCGAATGCAACCAATTCCCCCTCACCCCAGATGTACTTGATCAGTCAAAACATGCTTAATGTACTAAGCTTTTAAACAAAATGTCAGTGGTGGAAAAAGTACAGAGAAACTGTAGCCTGTTTACTGTGTCATAATCTTACTAATTTAAAAGTTGAAGCATGGAGCAAAATATATACTTCAGTGAAGTAAAAAGCATCTACATTTAAACATACCCATGTATGTAGAGGTTAAAAGTAAAAAAAAAAAAAGTTTTCTCTGTCTGGTGGTGTGTGATGAAGTGGTTGTTCAGAGGTACTAGTCCCTCCACCAAGACAAGTTAACGCAGTTGTTGGCAGCTTCAGTTTACACTGATATGAATTTGGATGGATGTTTTAAAAAAAAAAACAAATTTAAATGCATAGAAGCACAACTGATCAGCAAGAGATAACATGAAAAAACTGTTTTTTGAGATTTGCAACGAAACTCTGAAGGTGTAAATGAAACCATAAGAAGTAGAAAGTGTGCATTTACCCTTAGAAATCAAACTGAGTGAGAGTACAAGTGTTCAATTTAAATAATACTCAAGCAAAGCGAAACTCTTCCAAAAAATACTTAAGCTTGGGAACAAGTATTTCCCTCCCTGGTGATATAACCCTACACACACCAGCACTGTGTAAACTGCATCATATACTTCATACACTCGCCTCGAATCCTGTCAAACCAGCAAGTAATCTTAAATAGACTTGCTTAGGTGGTTTCTGACACTGCAGGGCATGACAGAACGTCACACTGCAGGGCATATCAGAACCACATAGAAACATTACTGAACACTTTGATGTGATTGGAGGCAGGTGTGTGATAGTCTAGCTATGCAGTGTGTATGATGTTAACTGGTGGGGTTTAAGTTAAGCTTCCATCCAGAACTATATTATTCTTCAGCGCAAAATGAAAGAAGCAAACATGTTTTGGCTGATCAATGTCACTTGCATTTTTACTCGCTTTAATGCCTCACTGTGCTCATGGAACTTCTAACATTATGGTGTTTTTCTCTCTTACACATGTAAAGTTCTTAATTCACAGGACAGCAAATTTTATTATACTGATTAGAGTTAAAAATTACAGCTCCCACTACTGGCATCTTGATATCCTAGTCAGAAATTTCATACTAGCCTTGTTACAGGGAGAAACAGGGAGAGGCCACTCAGGCTTGTCTGTTTATGGATGAGTATTTTGTCATTCCAGTATGGATAAGCTTCCTATCTGTACTGTTTTGAGGCGTTTGTGCTCCTGCCCCAAGTTTCTACCTGTGAAGAGCAAAGCTCTGAGTGTTCTTCAGCTCTCACACAATCCCATAACCCACAGCACCAGTGTGATTTACACTTATACTCCAGAGACAGTCCTGCTTTATTTTTTCATCATTTGCCAAAGCACCCCCTCCCACCCCAGATCTCCCAGCCCACAACCCAACAATCGATCAGCTATGACAGGCAGCCAGAACTGCACTGACCGTCCAGTCCACTGGTGTGAACCAGATGTGGCCACTAAATCAGTACCACTCAGACAGATGTGGAGCGGAAAGAAGCCTTTAATCGCACGTGTGTACGTGCGGAGGGGGGCGTTTCCATATTAAACATGGTGTCAAGAAAGCCCCGCACTAAGTGCACTGACTCAGGCACCTGCTCTTTCTCAAAGGAACCGACAACAGCCCACTCAGGTGAGCTGCTTTAATTCAGACAGACTCCTGCTCGGGCCAGGGAGATGAGCTGGAGAGAGAAAGCATGCAGAAAGGCAAAGAGGACACAGTCTAAGGCCAAGTGTCAACAAGGCCAGGAGGAGGCTGGCATTCCTCAGTCAAAAGGCACAGTGTTGCCGTAACGGATGGCTGCTTTACGTGGCGAGACAGGTCGGCTGAAACGAGGTCCCGTTGCCCTCTCTGGGCAATAAGGTGCTGGGCAAATATTTCCATTCAGTGTGTGAACTGAGTCAGACTGAGGATGACAAAGAGTGAAAGGGCGAAAAAAAGAGCAGTCAGCAGAACTGTCATTCCTACATGGCTGCTCCCTAAAAGGGCAGACCCACACACTGAGCAAGACAGATTTCCTGGCAACCCTGGTACTAAAGGCACGCAGACAAACATGCACTGAGACTCACACAATTTTATATCTGTATAAGTGAAAAATATACATATATTTATAAAAAGTATTTTTATAATTTATTTGATAATAAAAAGTCTTAGGGAACTTATTTTAACTTACGACATTTATATGATGTGTGTGGGTGTGTGTGTCTACAACCCTGAAATGCTACTCAGTGCTCTTGTGATGCCATAAGTTACGAAAATGAAGTTAAACATTATGTTCCCGGAGAGCTTTCTGTTATTAATTCCATCATATTAAGTGAAGTGGGATTTCCCCCAGGTCATAAAGGCACAAAGTGACCTGACCATGCTGTCATACATACCTCTCTTAATCACAGTATACTAGAGTTTGGCAACAGCATCACCTTGTGGTCACACAAACACAAAAGAACAAACTACAAATGAAACAATAGTAACATTTTAGAATGTTACTTTTGTAACTTTTCAGAAGTAAAACAGAGATTTCTACAAGCTTAAACTAAGTATTTTGACAAATTATCTACTTTCAAAGTTGCCTCTGAACACTTTTATGCAGTGGCCATAAGCATGCTAACCCAGGGGAGTTGAAAAGAGGTTCTACAGGCGCTCAGTTTAATGTTCATCCTATTCTGAGCCAAGATAACTCATGAAGGGTGTGGGAACTAGTTAATTCAAGTGTGTTACATCAAGGAAAGCACTAAACCTTTCAGTGCTCTAGGCATTCTGATAGATTGACTATAAAACTGCATATAGTTTTGCAGCTACTTCAGTCTAAAGCACGGGGTACATATATATGTATAAACAGTTTCTTCATGAAAGCACTGGAGACTAATAAAACATACGCAGTACCAGAAATGCTAAGCCACTGACCTCCTGAGTACATCACTAATGCCAAAATAATCTACCACAACTGGCTGCATTAGCGAGCAGCCTAAGAGAGTGTTTGTTATTCATGTCAGTGCTGCTGAAGCCAAAAATGATCACTGTGCCAGTGATTGCAGCATAAAGATTCAAAACTTAAGACATTGATCAAAATCAACAACCTATATGAAGAGATTTTTAATTTCAGAGTGAGGGTCTATAATGGAAAAAAACATATATACAGCACATAAGCAAAACAATGCTTGGCAATTCACAGAATTCTCTGGGAAGATATGACAATTCATTAAAGAGCCAGGAGAGATCAGGGTGACGCTGTCCAGGAACGGCTTCTGACTCCTTGGTGTCTGCCCAATCCACTCTCATATAGGCCAGGCACAAAGAACTCCGGGTGACAGTCCTTTGCCTGAGAGCAGGATCTATGAATTCTACTCCCTCCGCATCTCATGAGATACACAGTACACTTAAAATGTTTGTGCTGGATAAACATACAGCAGCATTCCCACATAGGCACAGATACAACACTGTGCTTAACTCAGTCCGAGTCACTGTTGAAATCCTCTGCAGGCCCTGACTTCTCTTCTCCCTGCTCTTCATCAATTGCCTTGTCCCAGTCCTTCATGGATGCACCCATCATGAAATCATCTCTCAGGACACTCCACACTGGCTTCTCATCTTTCGGCTCTTCAGGCTGTCAGATATAACCAAAACTGAGTTAACATCACATAAATGTAAAGGAACATTCACACATTTTTCAATCTTGTCTCTATCTGCCACATCTGTATCATAATAGATTACCACAGATAATTTAACTGTACTGAGAATAGTACAGAAAACCAACTGATTCAAGTACCTGCCTATTGGCTTCCACTATAAATGTTTCGAGTCAACAGGTTTTATGTTCGTTTATATAGCACAGGGAAACTTTTTAAAGCTAATTTTCGTGACAAAAATAAAGTGTCTTCAGATGCAGCAAATAAAGATTCGGATGAAAAACACTGGAATATTTTTTTTTGAGTCCTATAACAAGGAAAAATAAGTACAACTACTTTTAAGGCAAACAGTGCCACCATGTGGACAAAAGCAGGACATACCTGATAAGACAACTTTAAAGTGCTATTCCATCATTTTTTCCTCAAAACATTTGTCTCAGATATTAAGACTGCTCTTTTACTAATTTTAGAATAGCAGAAGAAGTTTTTCAGGGTGCTCCATGGACAGTCTTTACTAGCACAAATCCATGGTGCTTTGGACCAAAATAAGCATGTAAACATTAATGCTATTAGTTGAGAGTACATTCCAAAGAGAAAAAAAAAATGACAAAGGTCAACGACATGGATATGTCTGTGCATGGGAGAGAGAATCCATGTTTTAGCTCATGTGAAACCAATTTACTCAAGCCATTAAGAAGCTGGAGGAGAGTCAAGTATGAATCATGCATCTTTTCCTGATATTTCCCCATGGAGGCATGACAACTCTAGTCAGACGTCTGAATGAGACCAGACATGTAGGAGCTACAGATTACTTGCTCTATTCCTATTTGTATTATGACAGTGAAAAGAAAACTGGACAGAAAAAAACAGCTCCACTAGGCTGGTCTATATTTTCTGGTGCTCAATGTATGCTTTCAAATTAGGGAAGTGCACAGGTACACAAGTACTCGATTAACTGTTCGAGGTGCCAGTATTCTAACACTGAAATCCCTATTTGGGTATTAATTTCATCACATGAAGACGGAAAAAATATACTGGCTAACAATTATGTTGAACACAAAAAAACAAAATATATAAACAGCACTGTAAAATGTTCCTACTTGTAAGCCTTTTTATTATATTACACTTTGCTGCTCCTAACCCAGCAAAGTGTAACATATGTTAAGGATGTGACTGAGAAGTCAGAGATAGCATGGCTTTATTGCTAACCTGGCTAAATAAGTTACTCTAGCTAAGGTTATCTAGGTCCAGAAATAGTCATATGTTGGAACAACATCCACACTGTCAGACATCTATCACATTACATTACAGGATAAAAGTATTTATGATTCCTGGCATGAGTCACTTAAGTTCTCACCTTTTGGCAACAGCATTGCAGACTTCTAGCATCAAGCCAATGATCAAGTTTGACTATAGTTTTGAAAATGCAAGGTACTGCCTGTCTCCCTTACAAAACAACTCCTCCAAAAATTGATTCAGCATCACCACTATGAAGGCTCATATGATGAAATAACAGCGCACTCACCATAGATTTCTCTTTCTTAATGGTAGGTGTAGTGGCTCCTGCTGTCCCTCGCAGTATATCAATAAAGTCTTTTTTCGACACAGAGGAGAGGACTTTTGCTTTCTTCCTTTCAGACCCACCAACTTCCTTCATTTTTTCATCCAGATTCTGTTGGTGTTTCCGCACTGCATTGAACAACTGCACTACGCCTCTGAGGAGATCATGGAAGAAATGAACACATTTAAAAAAAAATAACAAATAAAAAAAAAAATTATTTTCACCAGCCACTTTATGAGCCACCATGTTAGAGCATCTTGCTCCTCTCTTTAAGTACACTACATGATCAAAGACATATGGACCCGCAAACATCACATACATAAGTCCTTATTCAACACTTTATTCAAAAAGATGGGCAATAAAGCAACAGGCTGCCAAAAATCAGCTTTACCCCCCTCATCCCAAGCACTGGGGACACGATATGTCAACCAAAGTGTTTGAAGTCTGCTTCTTTAATTTTACAGTGGAGCTACGAGGCTAACACAATAGACATCTACATAATAAATAATAATAATTAATCTCTGTGTTTAAACATTTTAGAAAAGCCGCTGAAATACAGAATGCTGAACATGGACAAAACAGATAATTCCACTGAACTGTAAAATAACCTACCTGGTAGCAGTTCTCTGTAGATTTCTCTCCTTCTCTTTGTCCTGTACTACATCTGGCTTTACCCGGCACATCATTTCCCATGCTCTCTTTTTATCTGCCTGTCAGTCAGAACAGACAAATCCACAACAATTGTGAACATCATGAACAGACACTTATACCCACTTACTTGTTTTGATTTCAGCCACTTTGGGGTGCTGTAATCAACCTCATCTTGGATTTGGGGGAATTCTATGTTTAACTGAGCAGTATCACAGGGGCTGATGTTTGACAGGGTCTTTTGTTGTAGGTCTACGTCAATATCATTGCAAAAGATGACAAAGAAATATGTTGACTACCTGCTATTGTCTTATTAGCATACACTATTGTCTCAGTGCTTACTAGACCAAGTTACCAGTTCTTAACTTTACCTGCTTTTTTTTCTCGAGCTTCTCTTTCCTCTCCTTCTCACTGATTTTGTCTCGTTGTTTGTTCTTCAGCAGGATGCAGGGCCTGTCATCTGGCGTTTTCTTCCTCAGGATTTTGGCCATGGCTTCTGCCCAGCCAGCATTAGGGTTTTCTTTCATGTCTTCATTCTGCTCCTCCTCATCCTCTGCCTCTTCACCATCACTCCCAACACTGACGTCTTCCTCCTCTTCATCACTCCCTTCACTGCCTGATCCTTCTTCTTCACTGCCTTCGATCTGGCTGAGATCATCTTCCTCTGAGTCTTAGCATGAAAAAAAAAACAAAAAAACAAGTTTAGCGATACGAGAACGAGAAGAACTTAGATATATAAGAAAAGCAGTAAATAAATATATTACTTAGTACTGGATTTATTGTCTATAAAAGTTTGAGAATAGTGTAACTTAGTTGTCCATAGTTCTTCACCATAACAGTAAGTTAGCTAGTTTGCTAGCTGGTATCCAGATGGATACAATTCAGCTGTCAAATGTCTCAAATTAGACACAGTCAAACGAACACTAAACACAGCCCAGCTCAGTGAAGTAAAACAGCTAGTATTACATTCTACATCTATTTCACACCGGCCGCAAACAAAAGCTAGAATTCGCTCGTTTCTCTCACAGTAACTGAAGTTGGTGGATCAAGTCTGTCAGTTACTACTTTCCTCACAGCGGCAGGCAGAACCATAAAAAGGCGTACTGTACAGTTTCAGCGAAAATAATGTGCTGAAGTAAACAAATCATGCGCACTTATAGAAACTACACAATAAATCAGTTTATCATCACCTCTCTCAGTTTCAACAACAACATGTGGCGTCTCCACCGAGGCTGCCATCTTCCACTAGGCTTATGAGTAATATGAAATAGGGTCGACAAGGAAATGCGTTCGCGCTAAACGTTCCGGGTTGGAATTGTAAAGTTTCGGACATGGCCGTTCCTCAGGGTTATGGGCGTCACATTCATTATTATTAATACTACTACTAATAATAATAATAATAAAAATAATAGGCATTAGTTTCATATCAAATTCTAAATGACTTGCTTAAAGAGGCATTCCGGCCTAAAACTAGAACATAGTATGGGATTTGTCATGTTATGTACTATTATCTAGTGAAAGATTGCATTCCCCTGCCTTATTGGGGTGACAGAATTGGCAGTTTTACATCTGTTTTACGTTTTTGTCAATTTTGTCAATAATTTTTTTCACTACAATACATAGCATGCATAACACAAATATGTAATCTTCCACATGGTGATGAAGAAAAACAAAAATATAGATATGTAAAAATTAAGATATGTTATTTGGCTTTCTAGCAGTAACTTCAGCTATCTGGCTTCCTTCTGCATTGGACAGCTAATGGGGAAAAAAAAGACAATTCTCACATATCTACCCCAAAGAGCTTGTAGTTTGGCAAAAGTTCCTCCTACCTTCAAGATACATCATCAGAAAGAGATTTTTTATAATGTTTATGCCACAAATTTCTCTCTCTGGACTATTATGGCACCACTGTGGGATGTGAGTAGGCATGCTTACAACAGATGTAGCGATGGTTACACACAAGAGTGTGCCTTTAAACCAATTTGTTATTGACCAACAGAAAATGGGTGTAACAGTAATGCAAAAAAAAAGTGAAATTAAGTTGTTGTTTACTGGTCTTTGCATCCAGAGCTCGAGACTCTTTCTTTGAGCTTTATAGCAAATTAATTTTTAAAGCATTTCCAAACATACTCTACAAAAACAATGTAGAGTATATTACAAAGAGAGACCATGCAGCAATGCACACTAATGAGATAGTGGTAGGCAACAGAGATCCCAGTGATGTGTAAAGTACAAATACTAGAGTGAAAGAAGAAAAACAGGTATGGGGTGTGTACATTTCAGCTTATTTACCAAGAGCACCACCACTTGTGTCTCAGAGAGACGGCTGCTGCCTCAGCTGGAGCAGCGCTCTGAGGGACACAGTCTTCACACTTGGGTGGAAGGAGCCGCTGAAACACACTGCACTTTCCTAAATCACCATGGCACCGTCCCAGCAGAGTAAGACAAGAAATAATGTTTATCTCTGTTAAAAACTGAAGTCATGCATATCATGTCTGTTATCTCTTATGAGTGTCTAGGGGCTGAATGTGTAATTGTGTGTCTTTGTCTTTCAAAAGGCTTTGTTTTTTTAAATGGTTCAGGACTGTGAAAAATAGAAGCTTTTGACAGTAACTTTTATGTCATGTCTCTATTACCATATTGTTTCCATACTGTTTGTTTATTATATGACCTGTTGTCTGATATTGGCAAACCTAATTGTAATAAAGCTGCACATCTGACACATTTTGTGTCATGTTGTGTATAAAAGAGCCACTGAGGCTAAATTTTTGTCTTTCTTGTGCCTTTTTTTTAAAGATGAAGACTAAAAGGTGTAGCCCTGTGCAATAAACTATAAAATTTATCCACCAGTGATTTAAGTTAGCTGTGTCACAGTTACCGTTGCTGAAAAATGTTAATCCTCATTAAGAAGTCTTAATTCTTTTTCCTGGATTTTTTCATTAGTTTATCTTGTTCAGTTAGGCAAGTACACAGGTGGTTAAAATAAATGTAACCTTACACCACCACCCCCCCTCATACTCACCCTTTTAACATTGACTGTGTGTGCACAAATGCAGCATCAGTTGCATGGCGACAGGTTAGACAGGATGGGCATGTTTCCTTGAAATCCCTGACCTCGGGCAAGTTTGTTTAAAGTTGAAACTAGAAACTTGCAAATTACAGTTCAGTTCTGAAAAGACCTAAATAAGTTTAAACAAGTTATTTTTTTCTCCTAACAGATTGAAACTTAATTACTCTTCAGTGATTTCTCTATGTGATAAATTCTTTAAATTCTTCTTTAAAGTGTTAAAAAGATGATGCATTTAACTTAACTTATAAAATGAGATAAAATAGTATATATTTTGTGTAGTTTTTACTTTTTAATACAACATAAAGTACTTTAAAGGGCCCATATCCTACATTTTCTTGTATCTAATGCTTGCATTGTTTTACATGGCAAAAGCAGTCATAATTCATTTTTAATGAATAAATTTAAATTAATGTCCATTTTCCAACCTCTCTTTATCCTTTAGAATTAAATAGTTCTGTGCTTTTAAGACTGATATATTTAAATGAGCTCTATTTTGATTTGGCTGCCTTGTGTTGCGTCTCATTCAACAAGCATTCCAGGCTGAAACACTTCTTACAACTTCATCATGAGTGGGCAGGGCTGAACTGCTGTAGGCTGAATAGGAGTATATATGTAAATGTCTTGGTCTCCATGACATCAAAGAAATGGTGAATTCAAAACAGGACATGGACTGTATAGAGTGAACGGTATGTTTAGAAACATAAGCAATGTTTACATACTATATTAAACTATTTTGTTTAAAAAAGTGATGAAAATTTAATTTCCCATGATAGGGAAACTTTAAGTGACCCATGTTCTGTGTCTTTTCTTCACATGTCAAATGAGGCACATCACATACAAACAATGCAACCATTCATTTGCTTCCTGTCGGCTAGGAATAATGCAATAGTTTTCCTCTTCACCTCCAATAACTCTGGTACATACTGTCTGCAGCTACAACCTTGTTGTTGTAAATAGAAATAGCCTACAGTAACTGCTGTAGGCTGAAGGGGTGATCATATGTAAATGTATTCATGCTTGTGACATCAAAACCACGATAAACTTTGTGAGTTTTTTCGTGATATGGGCTATATTAATATAATTAAATTATTACTCTGACTTCTCTTCATTAATCTTTTGACATCATATTCTCTTCTCTTATCAGATACCAAGACCCTGGTGAGGGAAGGAGCCGTTGGCTTCGTGCTGGGGGCAGTAGGGGGATGTGCCCTGGGAGCTACAGTGACCCCAGTGAACAAGGCCATGACTGAGATCGTCTCAGGGTCACTGCTGAAACCAGTCACAGATGGAGTGAGGACTGTGGGTCCTCTGGGTCTGGGGACTCTCTTGGGAGCAACTGCGCTCACCACAGCAATGACAGCAGCTATAGCAGGAGTGACTGTGGCTGCCTCGACTGCTTTGCTGCTCATACGGTTAAAGAGGCGCAGGGCTGGGACGGCCAATTTAGATGGATTTATGTGGATTGCAGCTGGGCTGGCTGCAGCCCTGAGCACCACGTCTTGTGGAGCAGCACTTGGAGTCATTATAGAGACACTTATCCTTAGGTCTGGGGTTGTGGCGCTGCTCTCGGCTCTGGGGATCTTCACTGTGCTGAAAACATTCATCCACGTCATTGTGCAGCTAACATGCAGAGAGTGGGAGTGCTGCGGCATCCTGCGGCTCACTGCTGAGGCTGAGGAGCAAGAGCAGAAGAAGCTGGAGGCTCTGGAGGCTGAGCAGAGAGACAGAGTGACAGTGGAGATTGAACAGAGGATTATTGCGTTTGAGACTGAGAAAAGGATTGAAGGAGAAGATGGGCTGGACTACAGAACTGCTTGGAAGGCCCAAAAGCAGGAGAGAGAGGAAATAGAGAAGCTACGAAGGGAAGCAGTAGAGCTGGCAGTGCAGCAGAGGACTATTCAAGAGCGTCTGACCAAAGTCGTGGCCAAATACGTGGAATTTCTGGCCTTCTCTGGCATTCCGATGACGGTGACTGCAGCTGTGACCGCTGGCTTTGGAATCTTTGGATTTGGAGACTATAGATTCGTTTTTGTTGTCCTTTTAACCCTTGTGCTCAGCATGGCCTTCATGTTAATGAGGTCAATGCATTTAAACTTCTGGATGTTCACTGGCTGCGTAGGTATGTTTGCAACGTTTGCAATTGCTGTACTCACTGTGCACGCAGGACAGGAGGCGGTGGAGGTGTCTTTAAGAATGCAGAAGGAGGGACAAGTGCTAAGTAAGGAGAACATCACAGCTCGGATGGACCAAAGAGCTTCGCTTGAGGCCATAGCTGCTGGGTTCTTTGTGTCAAAAATATGTCAGGTTGGCTTAGGGGCCTCTGTTGGAGGTCCACTGGATCCAAAAGTGTTGGATAAAGTCATAGTAGGAGCATCTGTGTCAACAGTAGCTATTATCTCAGTGGTTGAAACCTTGTCAGTAGTTCTAGGAGTTGGTGGTGTGACAGGGGCATTGCTGGGGGCTCTAGGGGCAGCTGGTGTGTCGCTGGGAGCAGCTACAGCTGTAGCAGTTCAGTGGTCCTCATTGACAGGAACCATAAGCACCACAGCTGGAATGCTATTTGGTGCTTTGGCCATTGGACAGTGGGACATTGTTAACACTGGATTGCAGGTGCTCGTTGCCTACATGTTTGCAATGATAAATCCTTATTGACTAATTTCTGGGTTGACAGTTGAGGATTAGGCTCATATTCTAATAAATGATGCTTCTGGGATAAGAAGCTATGACCTAAGCAGAAGCATAGCACTGAGTTGGTTCTAAGTGTAGTGTGCAGCAGTTTGTAAATTGTTAAATGCTTAAAACTGATCAAAACATTTCTCATTTATAAACCGTGTTTGCTTCATTACATTGTTCGTCTCATAACTTAAGTTCAGCCACTATATTGTGTTTTTTTTACATCTACATTAGAATGTAAATTATTAGTCAGACTTTTTATGTTTTTTACTTTCTCGTTACAAAAGAAAATTACAGCTGACCAAAGTGGATCATTTAAAAGAGTAAATTAATCATTTTGCAATTATTGTGCATTCCAAGTAATATCGGTCAAACTGCAGTTAAGTTGTTTTGATTAAGTAAAAAAAACTCAACAAAATACAGGTAACTTACAAAATTAAACTTAATTGAACATTTTTTAATGTACATTTTGTTTTTTGGCAAAAGGAAAGTCATTTAATGTTAAACAAAGCCATGTAATGGATAAAAGTTTCTTTTAAGAGCGATATTTAACATTCTTTGACATAAAACAAGTAGGTAATATGCAAAAAAAAATTACAGCAAAAGCAGCTCATTAATGGTCAATCTGAAACATTTAGAAGATCATACCTTGCAAAATCCTAAGGTCTAATCTCAAAAGGCTCACTGCTCCCTATATAGTGCACTAATATGTGAGTTATGACATTTTGGCTTTTACACCCAAATATTGCACCAGTATGTGTCCAGTATGGAATTGTGCACACATGGCTGAATCCAAAGTGGTCCTTTGTTAGACAGACTGTGCTCTGTTTTGATGCAGTAGCCAGTATTACAGTAGCCTATATTCTGCACTTTGTAGGGAGGAGGGAGCCATCTGAGATTTTGCATAAAACAGTTGGCGGCAGTGTTGTGTCATATATTGAGTTAGTTTACATAGGGGTCTGCCTTAAAGGCACAGTAAAAAAACCTCCTGCGTTGGAGAAAGGTTGAAAATGGCCATATAAAAATGAATTATGTTTAACATAAAGCCACATATTTATTATAAGAAGGCCTCAGAGGAAATGAATAAAAAAAAAGAAAATAAATACATAGAATATGGCCCCTTAATTACGAGGTTTAGTCGGTATGATAGTGTGGAGAGAAATCATCTATCTGTGCGGGACACCATGTCTCCAGTACTTTATATATATATTTTTTTATTTGTAATTTCTCCTAAAATGTATTCATTAGAACTGCAGGTTTAGAATTGGCCAAAATTAGTATAAGCTGCTGCTAGACCTGTACTAAAATGTCATAACATAATTTTACATATTACTCTTTGTACTGAATAGCTCAGTAGCCAGTCGCCTCATACTTTCAAAGCAGCACAATACACAGGCAAATTATTTTTTATTACAATATATAAGCGAATAAGCGCTAGTCTTTATTTAGACTAGTTATAAACATATTTAATTGTATGTGCAATTTGGACGTAATGTATGACTCGTGGATCATGCAAATAACCATAAAAAACAGTTTCAGAACATAAAGAAACTCTGACACAGTTAGGCTTTAGATATGAGAAAAGTTTATTTTCCTTATTTCAGAATTTTAACAAAAAGGAAAAAAGAGGGTTTATTTACTTTGCTTTATTTTACTTTACCTCTATTTACTTAAACATTAAACATTTTACTGCATCAGTTGCATGTAAACAAAAAGACCATTACTCAGATTTAAGTATTTATTTATTTATTGATATCTAACTTGTAAATGTGGGGATGGGGTGTGAAAGAGAGAGAGAGAGATATGAAAGTGTGAAAGAGATGAGAGATGAACTGAAAAGCAGAAGTGAGACTGGGTGTGGGAGGTTTCAGTTATAACTCTCTCATCACACCTGCTCCAGCGGTCACTCCAGGCACTGGCTCTTGCTCACACTGTGGCTGGCAGGTGTTTTCAGACTCTCATGCTGAACCTGGCAGGTGAAAGCCTGGGCACCCTCCCAGGAAGAGCGGGACACAGACAGAATGCTGCTCATGCTGTACGTCCCGTCAGAGCTCCGGACAGTCTTGGTGTCCTTTTTGTCTCCAGATGCATCCTGTCCATCCACACTCCAGCTCACAGTAACATAATCAGGGTAGAAGTTTTTCACCTGACAGAGGACAGTGACTTGATCAGGAGTGGACTGCTGCTGAACAGTTGGACTCAGCAGGCTGATCTCCGGAGAAGACAGCGGCCGACCTGAGGACAAAACGATTAAAATGCATGGCAAATCTGTTCATCTTAATTCTACTTTTTCATAATTCCTGACTAAAATGTTTCTTCTAATCATGTTAGACAGAAATATGTTGAATATTATTACAAGAATAAAACAGAATAATAATTAGTCAGACATATACCCAAAAACATTCAGAAATGTCTCAGGCATTCTAGTAACTCCTTACAAACACCAAAGTAACTTAATCAACAACTAATGGATTTATGTTATAAATAATAAAGCAATCTACTAACATGACTTCTTTTCTGGACATGTCAGAAATTTGTAAAACATGAATACAAAATATACTTAATGGCGGAAACCTATGACACGGTGTAAATGCATGATGATATGTAACAACTCATATGTATACAACTAAAAGCGTGCAACTAAAATGTAATAAATAGGTAATGTGACCGTTACTAACCTTTGTTTACTGCCTTACAATTTTGTTGATAAGGACAATTAACATTTCTTCAATCCATTAACAAAAATAGCTGTTAAACACTTACTTTTCACAATGAGTTTGGTGCCTTGTCCAAACATGTACCACAGTGATTCAGCAAGCCAAAGTCATCGTACAGAAACCTCTTCCTCATTATTATTTGTCGCTTTTCAGTGTATTACTTAACCATTTACAAACATATGCTTAAGACATATGTTAGTCTTTTGTATGAACAAATAGTATGCAGTCATAAACATAAATGTTTTAAAAGATATGTTTAAAAAATGAAACTGAAGAGGAAAAAATTTAAGACAGCACAAATTCACATTCCCCTTGGCAAACTATTGTCAATTATCAAGGTCCCCAAGGTTGTAATACATTTGCAATTCCAAAATCCTCAAAGAATTTTCAGTGTGATTCAAATCAGGAGATTGATCAGGTCATGTAAGCACCCTCACTTTCTTTTTTTAAAACACTTATTTTGGCTGTATGTTTGGGGTCATTGTTTTGTTCAAGCGTTTATCTTCCAGCTTCAGTTTCTTGCCCCGATTAAATTTCGAATTTTGAATTTTCGAATATGTCTTCTTACTTCACTCCATTCATGTTTCCTTCAGTGATGTGCAATGCCACAGTACCATTTGCAAAGAAGCAGCCTCACATCATGGAACTCACATTTCTGTACTTCACTTCCAAGAGGAAGAATATGTGCAACGTTCATTTCTCCCAACATGATGAGCTGAATTATTGTCAGAGTTCTGTTTTTTGTTTTGTCTGACACGATTACATGTTCCTAGTTCTTATTTGTCTGTGTGCTTGTGTGCATATTTTGTGTGTGATTTTAAATCTATGTACTTCTTTTTTGGAGGGAGTTTTGCATGAAGTGTATAAGAACGCAGATGATTGTAGTGCAGGTTATTGTTTTTGTTCTCTTTGTGATTGTTGTTCCTGCTTCTTTCAAGTCATCCTGCTATTTCCAAATGACTGCTGGCTTCTCTCATATCTTCCTTATCATTAGTCTGAGAGCATGTTGTAAAATCTTGTGAGGTGCTTCTGTCCAGGGTAGGGATGCATCAACACCATTTTTTCAGATTGAGTAAAATTACAAGTACAGGTTTTTAAGTACTTGCTGATACTGATACCGATGTCACAATGAGCAAACTACTGAGGAATTAGTGTAAATGATTGCAATAAAAATCAAGCTGATCTGATCATGTGAATAAGCTAGCTATGCTACATTAGTTGAATTGAGCAGCATTGAGAAAGAGAAGAGTGGGTTTTGTTCCACATCAGAAAAGAACTTCTGTACAGCTGTAAGTAAAGTATGTTAGATAGATCCTCTTATCTGTCTCTTTCAACAACTGAACACTGTGCACCGAGTACCAAGCAGAAATGCTGAGAAACTGTGCTTCAGCAGCATTGCAAACTTGTGCCACACGGTGCACTGAAGCCAAAACCAGATGGTGATAGAATAATAGACTCTTTCTACAGCCTATTTTACAAAGACAGTTCAAATAAATCACCATATTAAAAGTTATACTTCGCAATTCTATTCACAGAGGAACAGAGTTGGCATAACAGAGGAAAGTTGGCATAAAATGACTTTGATAGCAAATGTCAATTTTTTTTCCTCTGTTTTGCTAGCCAACATTTCTCCACTCATATTGGGGAAGTTTTTGTGTTTGTATGTGTTTAAAATAGAATAAAACTGCTCTGGTAGGAATATCCCAAGTGACCAATGACTTGGTGTCTGACTCCCACGGTGTAAATAACACTTTGCTGTGCAAGCAGACCCTTATTCACTGCCAGCTTAAGTCATTTGCTCATTAGCACGGCAGTGTGCACTCGGCTTCGTCATGTGGATGCTGGTGTCTGTGCATTTTTATGACAAAGAGTATGAGTAAATGAGCTCAGTATGGGGCCGATACCAGTATTAGTATCAAAGCATCCATAGTATGGGGACAATAAGTTGTGTTTCCAAGAAATTTCCACTTGCATATTACAGACAGGGATGTTTATGGTCTTTGGATTCTGTAGCTTCTGATTACAGTGTTGGCTCTGAGAACTTTAGGAAGCTCCCACAGCTTCACCATGATTGCTAAATGCATGAAATCTTACCCAAACAATGACAATGGTTTTTATAATGACTTCACAATTGTTATTTTTTTTAGCAACCTTAATATTTATTTTATGTTACCTTAAATATGTCATTGTGTCATATTTCATGATGAATGGACCAAAATTACTCAGAAAAAAAGTTGTTACATTAACTTCCATTACAAATTAAGAATGTTATTTTCTTTTCTTGTGAAGTTATCGTTTTGAAGATATGAGGTTTTGTTCCAACAGTGATAATACATTCAATATTATATCTGAAGACATTTTCCTATCAGACTCTTTTTTATAAACATATCTTTGTTGTTTATGCTTAAAAAATCATGTTTAGTTTATGTATATAAGTCAAAAGATGTGTTTGAATTTAAATTGGATACATGAACTGAAAGCAGATTAGATGACAAAAATGTGTCCTTACCTTAAGAAACCTATGTTTGTTCATTTCTTCCATGCTTCAGTTCAGCAAAGCTTTGTTGTTTTTACACTCTTTACAAATCCAGATGCTGTGTAGTCCCACACATAAGTGAAATAATGTGTAATAGGTTAATAAAAGCCATAGAGATATACTCCTTTTATATTTGCTAATATAAGCATGTGTTCTTGTTATGCATTTGATCCACTGAGGCATAATTGAGACCAAGATATAGCCTGAGACCTTAGAGAGGTTTTTGTACGGCGTTAATTCACTGTGTGAGCGGCAGCGTCTCAGTTTGTTGGCAGTGATACTCAGCTTCATCCTCCACCTGAACGCCTGCAATGGTGAAGGTTGTCAAGGCTCCTGTAAGTTTTCCACTGAATCTCTCAGGAATACCAGATACCCTTTGTTCACTGTCATGAATTACTTGTTTAGGAGCCTGTCCAGGTTTAAGCTGATACAGCTCCATGTCATTGCCAATATCCTGTGAGGCTTGACAAAGAATCTTTACAGTGTCGTGAGGCTGGACGGAGAGAACTGCAGGAGACTGATCTACTGTGATGATCCCCAGAGAAGCTGAGACAGAAATCAGAATCAGTTGCAGAAGTAGAATAAGGTAATGCAGGTGAATTATAATCAGAATTCTACAGAAAGCACATATAGTCAGTAAGGGTTAAATATTTTATCTCTATTATACAAACAGAAAGCAGACTTTAAAGTAATCTTACCCTGACTCCAGAGAGCTGAGAGGAAGAGTGAGATGGTAAATGATGAGCACATTGTTCAGTTGTTGTAGACTGGACTGGCAGTTTGAATGCTCGGTGTTTAGATCAGTGTGGAGATGAGCTTTAAAGGAGAAGGAAATGAAAATTTATGTAAATACTCTCAGCAGAGAGCACCCAGATGCGCTCTTTAGGCTCATATATTATTATTATTATTATTATTATTATTATTAATAATAATAACAACAATAATAATAATAATAATAATAATACTTTTCTAAACTTCACTGACTTCACATCACAATTCGGTTCAGTGCTGAATCATCACAGCTTTCCTGCTTTTGAAGTAATGTTGGACCAAACGCACGATTCTGTGGATAAGATTTTGTAGTGTGTCTTTAGGAAGCATGGAAACCTCCAACATGGGCAATGCAACCTTAGTAATGTTCTTCTTTTATGTTTGTCTGAACATTTGTCTTTATGCTCTTCATTCCTAGGTACTCTATTCCATTTAGAGTGAGTAATTGTTAATAAGTAAGAGTATATCTTTAATTTTTTAACAGCTTTAAAAGTTCAGTAAAAAAGTTCAGTAATCTCAGCATTGTACTGATGAAGATATGGTGACAATAGTAGATAATTCACTCACATCCTCGTAAGACACGTTTTGACTGAGGTTTCTTTGAATGCTCTTTCAACACACAAAATTTTGATTCATCTGCTTGTGGGGTTGGAAGCACAACAACTGCTTATTTAGTTTTAACTGAATGATTAACTATTTGGATTCTTGCAACTGGTAACAAAGGACACTTGACTACTGTGGTAAAGTCAATCTCTCAATGAATGATCAGTCTGGGTGCCTCTGTGCTTGATCTGTCTCTTAGGGTTACTCATATGACAACCAAGGCTTGCTTCTGCATTAAGACTTCTCTTAGAGTTAACACATCATGAAATGTTATTCTTGCAGATTACATTAAAAAGGCTTGATGTTATTTCCCTCAAGTTAATTTATCTTCTGTACATAATAGATAATATTACATTTATTGACACTTTAGCTTCTGGTTCTGTCAGATATGCCCAAGCATTCTTGTTTGCTAGCTATATGGAAGTGTTCCAAATCAAAATGAAAAAGGATGGTGAATGTTGGTGACAGCTGGTGAAGATTGTATTTTTTCTTTATATAATGCACATGTATATGAGAAAACTGTGAAATGATGATATAATCAAAGCTTTCTAGGGGACATTATCACACCCTGAACACACAGATCAGAGAGTATCCATGAAAATTTGATTCTATGTGATAACAACAGTCACAAGTGTGAAAAGATGTGGAAGAATATTGATGTTTATCATATAAAGGTTTAGGTTAATTCCATGGTTTTTAAAAGATAAGAAAAATGAAAAACTTTGTGTGTCATTGGCTTTAGAGCTTGTGCAAAAACCAGAATGCTGAAATTTACAGTTTATTTATACTTTATCCTGTTTAAATCATATAGTTTTAAGTCATTTATTACATACAGTAACAAAGGACTATTGACCACTAACGTGATGCCAGGCTGCTGAACCACTGCAGCATTACTTCATTTATTATTCACTCGTGATACAGACCTAAAATACAGTAAAAATGACCACCTCTTACATGTTGCTAAATTTGCTATGAACAAGAGGACATCATCACTCACTTACTGCACATATTTCAAAATATCTATGGGTAATTTATAGACTACTATTCTATGTAACAGCCACAGTCACATGTGTGAAAAACCTGGTAATTAACAATTAAGTTTGTGATTTTTGATGATATAATGTATGTGTATGTGAGAATATGTGAAAAAAAATGAGATGCGCTGTTTTCTGGAGACTGACTGCACATACGTGAAGCATCTATGAAATTTTTATAGATTGTAATTCTAAGTGACACTGAGGATCAAGTGTGAAAAACTGTGAAAGGATACAGACGTGTTAGGTGAAAGATTCATTCTTTGGTTATTATATAAGATAAGAAAAGGAAAATGTGCTTTGGTGATTTTCAATCTGTGGCCAAAATACATAAATAAATGAATACATAAATAAAAATGTATTGATGATAATTATAGTTCTACCCTTAATACTATTAAAATAATATGTGTGCAGTAACTGGTAACAAAGGACACTACTAACGTAACTCTAGGCTCTAATCAAGTGATCAGTCAAGCTGAGAAACACACAGAGGTTTTTGTACAGCATTATATCACTGTGTGACTGGAAACTCTTCACTGTGAGCACAGTGATACTCAGCTTCATCCTCCAGCTGAACACCTGAGATGGTGAAGGTTGTCAGAGCTGCTGTATATATGCTACTGAATCTGTCAGAAACACCAGACATTCAGTTGATACTGTTATGAATCAGATGTTTAGGAGCCTGTCCAGGTTTAAGCTGATACAGCTCCATGTCATCATAAATGCCCTGTGAGGCTTGACAAAGAATCTTCACGACAGTGTTGTGAGGCTGGACAGAGATGACCGGAGGAGACTGATCTACTATGATGATCCCCAGAGACCTGAGAGAAAAAATAAAATAAATTAATATGTGAAGGTAATAAAGGTGACTTATACTCAGAACGTTAGAAAATGCACACCAAGTCATTAGCAGTGCTAATTCATTTGTCTCTATAATACAAACAGAAATCAGACTTTAAACTAATCTTACCCTGACTCCAGAGAGCTGAGAGGAAGAGTGAGATGGTAAATGATGAGCACATTGTTCAGTTGTTGTACACTGGATTGGTAGTTTGAATGAGTTTAGAGCAGCTTTAAAGGAGAAAGAAATGAAAGTGTATGTAAATAAACTCAGCAGATGCACTCAGCTCAGCTCTGTGGGCTCAGACATTACTGTTATGTTATTCTTTTTTGTGGTAATTATTTTTAATACCTTTTGAAAACCCAGTGGTCACACAGAACATATGAATTCTAAAACAGGTTTATTTAAATAAATAACAAGAAATTATCTCTGATTAAAAACAGTGGACTCCAGACTTCTGTTCAGTGCAGAATAATCAAAGGGTGTCCACTTCCTGTTTATGGCTGGACAAAATGTAAGCACAATGCTGTGGATAATATGCTTTATGAAGTTACTGTTGGTGCATGATAGTAATGAAATGTAACCTATTTGCCTTTTCTCAGGATCATTGGAGATTTCTTCTTTATGTTTCTCTACTTATCATTTATGATTACTCATGTGACAACCAGTGCTTGCAGTTACACACCACTTATGGTTGTGTCTGCAGCATTACCTAAATTTTAGTATCTTGATATCTAAACTTATGCTTCACACTTTAGCTTTTGAAGTCAGTTATGTGCTTAGAAATAGACAAAACATCTGAACAACAATCACATCCAATCATGAATGAAACTGAAAAATGAAAAATGACACAAAACTCACTACTGAAAATCTAACAATGTCATTTTAATCTCCAGACGTTTCCTCCACCACATTACACTGAACCTTTCTCTTGTTGAATTTAATAAAAAAAATGACTAAATCAACTGCTGAATTAATTTAGTTTTACAACCCCAATTTTAAAAAAGTTGCTGTGTAAAATGTAAATAAATATAAATGTAATGATTTGCAAATCTCATAGACCCATATTTTATTCACAGTAGAACATAGAACACATATCAGATGTTGAAAGTGAGACATTTTACCATTTCATGAAAAACATCATTTCATTCTCATCTTATTCATCTCAACAACTTATTTAGAACTTGAAGGCAGCAACGCATCTCAAAAAGTTGGGACAGGGCAACAAAAGGCTGGGAAAGTAAGTGGTACTAATAAAAAACAGCTGGAGGAGCAATTTGCAACTAACTCACATGACTGAGTATAAAAAGAGCATTTTAGAGAGGCAGAGTCTCTCAGAAGCAAAGATGCGCAGAGGTTCACCAACTGCAAAAAAATGTGTCTACAAATTGTGGAACAATTTCAGAAAAATGTTCCTTAACGTAAAAAGATTCTGACAAAAGATTCTGAGAACCTGGAGAAATCTCTGTACGCAAGGGACAAGGCCGACAGTCAATATTGGATGCTTGTGATCTTCAGGCCCTCAGGCAGTGCTGCATTAAAAACAGGCATGATTCTTACTGGAAATCACTGCACGGGCTCAGGAACACTTCCAGAAATCATTGTGCACACAGTTCGCCATGCAATCCACAAATGCAAGTTAAAGCTGTATCATGCAAAGATAAAACCATATGTCAACACGATCCAGAAACGCCGCTGTCTTCTCTCGGCCCAAGCTCATTTAAAATGGACTGAGGAAAAATGGAAAACTGTTTTGTGGTCAGATGAATCAAAATTTTAAATCCTTTTTGAAAACCACGGACGCCGTGTCTTGTGGACTCAAGAGGAGAGGGACCATCCAGCTTGTTATTAGCGCACAGTTGAAAAGCCTGCATCTCTGATGGTATGGGGTTGCATTAGTGCCTATGGCGAAGGCAGCTTACACATCTGGAAAAGCACTATCAATGCTGAACAGTACATAGAGGTTTTAGAACAACATATGCTCCCATCCAGACAACGTCTCTTTCAGGGAAGGCCTTGCATATTCTAGCAAAACAATGCTAAACCACATACTGCATCCATAAGAACAGCATGGCTTCGCAGAAGAAGAGTCTGAGTGATGAACACAATGATACACAATGGTAGACATGGCCCTGTCCCAACTTTTTTGAGATGCGTTACTGACATGAAGTTCTAAACTAGTTAATAGTTTTCATGAAATGAAAATGTCTCACTTTCAAACATCTGATATGTATTCTGTGTTCTATTGTGAATAAAATATGGGTCTTGAGTCTACGAGATTTGCATATTATTTCATTCTGTTTTTATTTACGTTTATTTACATTTTACACAGCGTCCCAACTTTTTGGGATTTGGTGCTGTATACCTGAGCATCTGATGAAGACTATGCAAGTCAGTGCCTGTGTCCTTCCTCTCAGATTAATTGCTAAGGAATAATAAGACACTGGTATAATGCACTCTGTTGCTGCAAATTCTGACATATTAATGAATTAATGTAAAGCAGTTATGCTTTCCAACAGACATTAGCCAAGCTTAAA